TAATTTGGGATTGATAGTTAAGGAATTGAATCAATTGATGAAAAGTCAACAGTCACACAAAAGTCAAACATTGACTTTTTTTATCAACTTTGGAATTCAAAAATCAAGAATCATCAAGATATTCAAACCTATCAAACTTGATCATCAAGAATCAAGAAATTCAACAAAGGTCAAAAGTCAAGATTTTCAAACCCTTAGAAAAAATTCAAGTGTTTTATACATAAAAAACCCTAACTTCACAAGCAAGTTTCCTCAAGATACAAGTTGATTCAAGGAAAACTTTCAACATGAAAGTTGTAGGGATTGATGAATTCTACAACTTTGTTAATGTGAGATGATCCACAAAAAATGCTTGGATTAAGAGATATAAGCCCATGAGGTTATGATTTTTTTCTAACACTTGGAAAATTTTTCAACAAGTTTTGGTCAGTTTTTCATCTCATCTTCTTGGCCAATTCTCACTAAGTTATCATTTGATTTATCCAAAACTCATAACATGAAAGTTGTAGACCATGTTTCAAGCTTTCCAAAATGTCCAAGAACACAATTTTATCTTGCTTGAGCTAGAAGTTTCGAAGAGATGAAGTTGGGTATCTAAGGTTGCATTATTGGTCATTTTTGTGACAAGTTCATAACCAAATCTTCAAGTCATGCTGCATAATATCACTTTTCAGGTCCATTAGCTTGCAAATCTTTCCATAATTAAATGTTTACACAATTGATTGAACCATTATCTAAGTGTTTGAGCCATTGTCCAAATGATTTTTCCATTTATGACACAAAGGCACCATTGCCATTTACATAAAACACACTTTATGAAATTGTTAACTCTCCTTGAGCCTCTCACTTGTTTCATCTGCACACACTAAACCTAAAAACTCAGAGGAACATGTTTAAAGTATCTAACAACTCTAGAAGGTATGGTACTATGCATTGAAACTTGGATTTCACAAGAAATCACAAGTTGCATCTCAATCAAGCAAAAACTTAATAACTTGTAAACCAAGTTCCCCCATCCTCTGAACCTTTTCCCTATAAACATAAGGTCCATTTGCAAGCCAATAGAGGAATGAACAAGCCCTCTAACCCCCTCAAACTCTCCCAAATCAGAATTGGCCTAAAAAACCCCATTTTTGAGATTTGAAGTCCAAATCTTCGAATCTCTCAAACCTTGCAACTTTTGTCCAAATCAATCATCCAAACACTTCATATACATCATATATAGTTGATCCAAACACTTGTTTCATCATTGTAACATCATCTTCATCATCCACCATTTTCAAATTCCAACCTTGCAACCTGACTTGAGTAGATCGTTCCAGCCACTCTCAAAGCAAAGTTTGGATTGCAATACACTCCTCAAGGTCCCAGCAAGCTAAAACAATCACCATCTTGCTTCTGGAAGTGCTTCAAGAATCATTGGACTTTCTCCAACTTGGTACATTTTTCAAACTTTGAACTCTTTATTTAAGCATCCTTTGTGCGTACATTCTAAAGATAAAATGTAGATATCATGTCTATGAAGCTAACTATATTTTTAGTTTTCATTTTATTGGACTATGTGATGAGAATTTTGGGACTGAGTTTTATGAAGTTTTAGGGTTCAGTTTGGTACTAAACAAAATTCATCCTAACCATTGATCTATAGCTTTTGAAATTTATATGGTTGAATCTGTGTTCAAATTTCAAGCAAGTTTAGTTTTGGAAGTTTTTCAAAATGGTTGAGGAATGAGGGATTTATAGAATCAACAATGGTGAAGTCATGTTGATATACAACGCGAGAAGAAGAAGGCCATGGCGCCAGTTTTCGAATTTCAAAAATGAGTTTATTTTATATTTATTGCAACATGTTTTATCTTTGAATGTAACAGTCACCCCAGTGGCAGCGCGCTTGCTCTTAAGTCATACATATGCCTGGTCACGGGTTCAAACCAGGCGTGGGACATTTTTTCTTTTCCATGTTTATTTCTCACAGATCCAGTGCAAACAAGTCCAAAGCGCGCATGGTATACCTCACATCTTGACCATTAGATTACAAGATTCCAGATCCAGTGCTCCAGACAGCCAGGACCATGGTGGACTTCCTAAGATTAACCTCACTGGATCACACAGGCATCCGGGCCAGCGCTTATGGGCCTAGGATCTTTTGCTTTTCAGCACCCTTCCATTTGCTTCTACAAACGCAGACCCATTCTAAATATCTTTTTTTTTCTGTTTCAAACAAAAAAAATTGTTGTTGGGCCTTTTCATTTTTGCTTTTCCCATACCCCCAATTCTGCTTACAACTCAGGCCCATTTTTATTTTTATTTTTTTATTTTAATTAACTTTCTTTTTAAATTTTTTTTATTGAATCAGAAAAAATCATAAAAATGATTTAAAAAATAGATTTAGGTTTTTTTATTAATTAATTTAATTTTTTATAAATAAAAATTAATTTAATTTAATCACCTTGATTTTTATTAGGTTTTATACTCCATATATTTTTCTAAATAAAACACCAAAATATTTTCTAAATACTTAGATTTCTTTAGGTTTTACTTAATTAATATTTTCCAATATCGTAATTGCTCAAAGTCTGTAATAGCTTTTATTATGACTCCTTTACATTTCATCCCTACTCATAAATTTATAACCTACTCCTGAAGTGTTGTAATAACATAAGACATTTAATTTTCGCAATTTACTGTTTTCCTTATTATTGTTAGTAATTAGGGTTTGTATGACAAGATTAAAATCGATCATTAAGAAAACCTAATCTCAAAGATAAATACTTGAAATCAAAATACTTTGCACACACGTACCTCTAGGATAACCCCACTTGTTGCCTCGGATTTAAACAGTCATGTCCCTCGAACGTGAGATGTTTTAGCAAAGACCCTCAGTTAAAAGATTGTAGTCCCTCGATGACCCTTCGATGCTGCCTTCGGTAAACGATCCCAGTCCCTTATGACAATTGCTAAAGCATCCTTACAAGTTTCCTTCTATGACTGTACGATGACCCATGCTTGTCCCTCACATCCAATGATATGACTTCCTACTAACTAATGGTAGAATATCACTATCTAAAGGAGGAGGAAAAGAATAAATACTATTGAGTAGGTAGATCGCTCGTAATCGCTTGCTCACAAACTAAAATTATTTCTAAACTTCACAGTTTCAAAACAACCACTTTTAAAACACTTTATAAACGCTCTTGAGGACTGATACAAGGGTTATTATAAGGCAAATTGCCTTGCATTGGCATCTTCAATATATTTTTCACAAAACCACACTTTCTTTCAAAATATTTTCAAAACAAACATTTTATATACATTCTTAACTATACGAGAATCATTACAAAATTTCCGCACTTAGGCATTATTAAAATATTTTCAAACATACACAAAACATTTCAAAATTGAGCTAGCAATTAAGAGTCCATAGATAACTACGGATGAAAAGGGTGCTAATATCTTCCCTTTTCATAACCTACCCCCGAACTCAGAAAAATTCTCAAAGGTCTTTCCTGTTATTTTCACTCTTTCCTTTATTGGATAAAAGAAAAGTCGGTGGCGACTCTTGCTATTCGTAACATTTGCGATAAAATGCAAAACCCAAAATCAGTTCTTCCACCGTATTACAGAACTGGTGACTCTGCTGGGGAAACAAGCTAAAAGCGGGGTTACCTTAAGAGATAGATCACCTTTATTGCTTTACTTGTTTGCCTTGTATGCTTTATATTTCGGGATATGCTTGGGTTTATTTGTTGTATAGATCCTATATCCGGATCTGGGGGCATTTTAGGTAAGTAGCAATAGATTGTGGAAACTGTACGGCATAGACCGATATGGTTGAAATGATGGCTATATTAGTGCGACACATTGGTTTGTACTGGTGTCCCTTGAGTCATTCAAGGAGAATATTGGGATGTCGCATGGTGTCATAAGCACTAACAGATCGTAGAACCTTAGTTAACATGACTTAGCCATTAGAAAGTAGTGAGATGGCTGGCTTTGGTGCAGTCTAAAGTTGGTTGATACTCGATGCTACACTCATTCAAATTGGACTCTCGAGATATTTCGGTTGCAATTTAGATGCTTGTGCTGAAACAATGCCTGAGAGAAAGCTCTGTTCATCAACAGCTTCACCTTTAGTCGTCATTATTCTCAGCATCTCAACAACATCACGGTAACGCGCACATCAATCTCACGCATCCTCTTCCTCGATTTCGACAAACGCGGTGCCGTATCTGTAACAACCCGTAACGTATTCGACGTACCTTATCATCATTGCAACAACGTCTTCATTATGCATTTAGGTTCCAATAGAGTTCGGAATTATATTTCCGATTACAAAGCGGAGACGGTGAATGATTCAAGCAATTGCTCATAGAGTGAACTACTTATGGGTTATTGATGATGATTGCAGCGTAATTGGCATTGTTACTTTTTCTAATATTTTGAAGGTGTTCAGAGAAGGTTTTTGCTTTGAATGTTCATAGGGAAACATGAAACTTTGGCCTGAGCAGTGTAGCTAATGAGATCTGAGAAGTATGGCCTGAGCAGTGTGGCTAATGTTCCAAAGACCAAGTAAGTTTATTGTTTTGATATATATTTCTTTTAATAAAATTCCAAAGACCAAGTAAACTTTTATTTTTTTAACTCTTTTTAAAATTTTGATTTGATATTTCTGATTGAAGTGGGCTGCAGCATGGCTGTGGCAGTGCCTATGCAGCAGACTCTACTCTACTGAGACACATCTTTCAAAGTCTAGTTCAGCTAACTCCTTTTTCTTATCTACTTCTCATTTTACTTCTCATTTTTTGGGTAGGGATTTTACTTCTCATAACACTCTCTTTCATCCTATTTTATATTTCTCTGCATCTTCATTTTCATCGAAAGTTGGTAAAATGCACTAAAGGCACCATGCCTTTGATGATTCAAAGTTAGCCGATCCTGTTCCTCATTTTTTCTTCTCTACTTCTCATGGATATTTATCTCATAGATATTTTTCTCATGGTATGATTTTCTCCCTCTTCTTTGACTCTTTTTATTTTGTGGGTGTTGGATATATTAAAGCATATGATGCTCTTGGTGATGCATTTCTTCTCTCCATGCATATTTTCTCCCTCTTCTTGATGGCACCATTCCATGGTTGCAACGTGGCAGGTAGGAACCAGAACCTTGCACATGATGTATTTTCTTGGACTGATGCAAGTGTAAACCAGAACCTTGCACATGATGTATTTTCTTGGACTGATGCAAGTGTAAACAACACATCTCTATGCATATTCTACTGATTTGCTTGTTCTTTTAATGTTTCTTCTTCTTTTCTGATATGGTTGCCTTTTGTGAAAATTTGCCTGTTTATGTTGGAAATTTACTTATATTTTTTGTTTTCTATTAGGTGTATGCATTTACTAAGGAGTTTTGGGTTGACTTACTCATGTATGATATAGAGCAGCCACCGCCGTCCGCTTGACAACTGCCACTGCCATTGTATCCTTGTCGGTGATGATTTATTGTCATTTGACAGTGACGAAGTCGTGGTATAGGGAATGAAAGCATCTGTCTGAATAGTTTAATTATTAGGTGTATGCATTTACTAAGGATTTTTGGGTTGACTTACTCGTGTATGATATAGAGCAGCCGCCGTTTGCTTCACAACTGCCACTGCCACTGTATCCGCGGATTCATCCTCTCGATCAACCTCTGCCCGAGATTCATGTCTCACCTTCTCCTATTTCCGATTTCAACCGTGATTTCATTCCGTTTCTACTCAATCTTGATTTGTATCTCGCCTCCAAGGTCCGTTCATGAAGCGAAGACGTAGTTGCGATGATGATAAGGTGCGTCGAAGACGACACGGGTTGTTCCATATACGATGCCACGTTTGTTGAAATCTAGGAAGAGGATGCGTGAGATTGATGTGCGTGTTACCATGATGCTGAGGAGATGCTGAGAATAATGACGACTGAAGGTGAAGCTGTTGATGAACAGAGATCTGCGATGAAGATGATATTGATGATTGTTGAAGCATGATTTCAGAAGTTTAGTGAAGACGAGGCTGCGATTTCCAGAATTTCCTTGTGAGTTTTCTTTGTGAATCGTTTTATTTTTGTGAGTTTTTCTGTGTGTTTTCTGGCTCGGTGAATAATCGTATCTCTGAGTTTCTTGTTCCGGAAATCTGTGTGTTGATTCTGTGTTGAAGATGAGGATTGAAGGGTGGAGAATCGATGTATAAGGAGATTATTGTTATGAAGAATCGATGCAGAAGGTGATGATGATTGAAGATTAAATTTCGTCCACACTTCCTCTAACAGATTTAGGAAATATTCTAAGTGTACAATTGATTGGTTACCTTGTCGAAGCTTGGTAATCACTAGAAATCTATTATCCGACGTTCGAAAATGATTCAGGCTAAATCTTGACACATTTCAAACTAGTAATATTGAATAATAAAAATAAAATAACAATATAATTTTAAAAATTAAAAAAATATTTAATAATAAAAAAGAAATTTTAAAACCTATAGAACACATGTGTATTTTATAGAACATATATGATCTATTACAGATCCAATGTGTTCTATGGTTTTTAAAAATATTTCTTACTTAAATTTTAATTTATTATTGTATGTTTTTATATTATTAATTTTTTTTATTCTATATTACTAGGTTTTTTAAAATTTCGTCACACTTCCTCAAGCACTTCCTCTGGCAGATTTAGGAAATATTTTAAATGTCCGATTGATTGGTTACCTTGTCGAAATTTGATAATTACTAGAAATCTATTATCCCACATTCGCAAATGATCCAAATAAGATCTTGACACATTTCAAACTAGTAATAGATCTATAATAGAACAAAAGTGTTCTATAACTAGCTTGAAACCATAGGCGCACATCAATCTCAACAGCAGCCGCCGCCGTCCGCTTCACAACTGCCACTGACACTGTATCCTTGTCAGTACTGTATCCTCGTCAGTAATGATTTATTGTCATTTGACAGTGACGAAGTCGTGGTATAGAGAATGAAAATATCGGTCCGAATAATTTAATTATTAGAGTGTGTATTTATTTATATTGAAGTTTTATGTTATTCACTCTACATTTTGGATGTTGTTGATCCAACTTTTAGAATATAATATATGAGAGTTTTGTTAATAACTTGTTAGTGACTGTTTTTTTTAATCTATAAGGAAAAAATCATTCCATTCACTTGTTTAACTACTAAGAAAAATAGTTTTTCTTTTTCTATTGGATTTTGTTAACAATTTAATTAAAAATATTTAATTTGAAAGTTAAATCAATTAATTTTATTATTTCAAATATTTAATTATAGTAATAAATATCGTATGGGCCTTAGGATAAATCCGAGCCCAATAACTTTCCCATACCTGTAATTTCCATTTTACACACCCTCTGCTTTTTAATTTTGATCCATGTCCTTAATTAGATTTAACTCTATTAGTCATTATCCTTTTTATCTTTCATTTTTTCTAATCATCGTGACATTAGTAACTCATCGTTCCTTTATCATCTTTACTCTATTGTGTTTCAGGTGTTGGAAGTAATAATATATGTCATATTTTATGAGTTATGTTCTCTTTTGTAGGTGCATACTTTGAAATATCATAAAATAATATTAAAGAACATATTAGAAGTATCTTCCTCCTTAAATTTATAGTTTTTATTTTTCTACCTTTTTTATTTTTGATTATGTTTTTTTTAAGTTGATCGCTTCCTAATTTTATTGTTGTTTTATAATCATTTATTACATAATTTTTGTAAGTGTACATATTTTAAAGTATCTAAAATAATATTATAAGATAGTATTATTGTTGAAGAAATTGAATAGTATAAGATATAAGTTTAACACATAATTTTTTTTTGAAGTAACAGTTTAACACATGAATTGAAATATTTGTCTCTCTAAATCTTTAATTTATATATTTTTTTCCTTGTCAAAAAAATTTAAAGAAATAGGACAAACTGCTAATCATTAATAGATATGTTTTTTAATACAAAGTTTAATCAGCGAGTCTATCTCTTTTCTCTTTTCTATCTCTTTTACTCTTCATCTTTCACTTCAACTTCCTCTCAATCACGGTTTACCTAAGAAACTACACAACATAACACATTTGAAATTCACAGTAGATAGGGAAAAAAAGCAGCATTTTTGGAAAATAAAAACAATAAAAGTAACATGCATAGAAAAAAAACACAAGATTAAGAATGATGATTAGAGGAAGTTTATTAGAATAATAGTTACCTTGTATAGGGTTTTCAATGATTCTCAAAGGATTCTCATGTAGGGTTGTTGTGTGAGAAAGAGGAGTGACAAGTTGTTAAGATATCACAAACCATTTCTAGCTAGTTAGATATTGACATTGGCTTGTAAGGGAAGCTTAAAGGTACTCCCTCCTTCCATACCTCGGTAAATGTGATATTTCGGGGATCTTTCTATCCAGTGGGTTGTATGTCTTTAATTGAGATTTTTGAACTTTCAGGAGCAGTGTATTTTACCATTACATCAAACTTGCCGCTTGGCTGCCCCAGGGTATCCCAGACCTCAGTAGGAATAGGTGGGATTTGTTTTCTATCATTCGGTTGGAATGTATCTTTGAATTTCTCAGCAAAAGGACAAAATGGTATATATGGTTCTTCCTGGGATACGTATCCCGAGTCGTTAAGATAAGATTTTCATTCTTCTTCAGAATCAGAGGGATCTTCTTCACCAATGAGATTAACTTCTCGAAGAACAGGGTTAAGGAAACCTCCGTTGCGGAACATTTATTCAATCGGGCGAAGGGTTTTATCCTTCTTGGTGGATTTGGAAAGTACTGGTGAAAATCCGAGTCCTGTTCCAGATTTGTTGTCAGCAGGGATCACAACTTGTCCCTAACCGGTGGCAGTACCATCTTTTACTATTTGTACATCATCCTTGTAAGAGGAGATAGATGTTCTACTCGCTTTAGTAGATTTGTCTTCCAAAGAGATATCTTGGGATAGTGTTTCATCCTCATTATCAGCGCCGATGAAGGAAAAAGAGGATAAATGGCTAACTATTAGTGCTTGTTCCCCACTTACGGTTACCCGTTTTCCATTCGCTATGAACTTCAACTTTTGATGGAGCGTAGATGTTATTGCCCCTGCTTCATGAATCCATGATCGGCCTAGCAAACAACTGTAAGCAGCCTGGATGTCCATTACTTGAAAAGTAATTTGAAACGTATGTGGACCAATTGTCATAGGAAGATCAATTTCTTCGATGACAGATTTTCGGGAGCCATTATAAGTTTTGACTACCACATTGCTGAACCTTATAGGAGTTTCTATCACGCTCACACGTGATCTCATTCACCAAATCTCTATATGCAATATCTCTTTTCTTGAACAAGTCAATATTGATGTGGGAGAAAATGTTTATATGTTTTATGAGATTACTTATTCAGGCTTAATTAGTTGCCACCAAGTGCTTGCTAACTATGTTAAGATATTAAGGTTCTCACGATCGTGAATATACAATCGAAACATGTTTATGATGCGTGTATGAGCAAAATCGAAAATTGAAAAAAAAAAGAGGCAAACCGTGATTGTGTTCTGGTGATTCTGGACGTTTTGATCGATGGTGATGATCCAGATACCTTCAGAAACAACGAGGAAGTGAATGGGATGCTTGGAATAGCTTGAATTGAGCTGGAACTTGGTCTGCAACTTCAATGTATCCCACGGTTTTTTTGAAGTTTTGCTAGGGTTCTTGAGGCATCAAATTCGTATCCTAGGCATATGGAATTGTTGTGTGCTTATAGTAGAGTGAATTAGGTTAACAGTATTGCACCAAATCTTTGTAATTTGTGTGATTGATATTTGATTTGGAATCAATATGAAATATTTCTATTTTGAGCTCAATCTTGCCAATCAAGCTTCGATCATCTTCCTTGGACCTCAAGATTTATGTTTGATTGATTTTGATTGAAGAAATCCAATCCATGCGCCTCCTACCAATTATTTGATATTTATTTGATTTATTTTGATTTTAAATGAATAATAATCAAAATAAAAATAAATAAAACTCATGGCCATGCACCAATGGGCTTAGAGGTCTTATTTAGGTTCATGAACATGTTAGAACCCAAAAAGATAGGTCACATTGTTCAAAAATTCAAATTTGTTCACTTTGCCTTTTGTGCATTTTCTCAAATATTGCCCAACTTGCACACTTCATATCTTGCTCCATTTTTACCATATGAATACAATCTTGGACTTTTTGGAAATATCAAGAAGTCCTTTACAACTTTGTAGTTGTAGATTTTTCCATTTGAGGCTTTTATCCTTGTGTAAAGTGCTTTGACAAAAGATGTCCTTTTGTTGACTTTCCAAAAGGACCTGTAATGTCTTGACATATATCTCTCAAATGAAGCATTTTTGGACTCGGCCTTAGAGAGATAAAGTTGTAGGGAATTTAATTTCCTTCAAAATGAGCTTTGGTTGAGGAATTTCTGATGAAGTATGTGAAAGTTATGCCTTGTCAAAGTTCAATTGACTTCTCCTTAAGAAAAATTCTAATTTAGCAACTTTTGACTTTGGAAGAATTTTGAGGTTTTCTTGATGAATCATGATCAACCCCTTGATCAAATGATGAAGATCAATGATATTGAGGTTCATAGAACACAGTTACTTCTTTTAGGACAGGTGGAGCCAACTAAAACTTCAAGAGGGTACTTACCTACAAACTCCATGCAAGCTTAAACCTAAGACCTTGTATGTTTTGTTTGTGTTTGATTAATTGTTCGAACATGACATCATAACATCATGACATCATACCATATCATTTTCACTAACCGTTTCAAGGACCTAGGGATTTATCTTTGTTCTGTTTTGTAGGTTATGGCCTCCGCTTGTAACACCCCATTTCTACCCGACGAGTTAAATAAAATTAGAGTTATAAAAATTTCCAACGAACAAATGGAATGCTACACTTTCAACTTAAAACTACGACATTCAATCGTCTATAGTTCAGATATATAACACATGAATTTGGATGAACCGATAACAACCTGCTTAGCCTTTAAAAATAAAACAACTTTCATTACTATGCAGCGGATTCACAAAATTCAACTGAAAACACCATAACATCTTGTCCAACTCAAAACAACTTTAAGACAACAAGTCTTTAATGAAAATAACTTAAAAATTCAGCAACACAATGAAAATCAACAATAAAGAAAACATGCGTTCATTCCCCCGAGTGCTACGTATCAGAGCGACTCGAACACCGACTCGACAACACCTGCACGTTACCAACAGAGGACAACATTCAAATAGAATGGCTGATATATCGAACCATATAATCGGATATACAATAAATAATATATTAGTATTAGATCATACAAT